AGATATTTAAGATCCTTATGATCACTAAATACCTCAAACTTAGAATTATACCAGTAATGTCTCCAAAATCTCAAGCGTAAATATTACAACCTCTAATTCAAGGTCATGGGTAAGGTAATTTCTCTCATGAATTTTCCATTACCTAGATGATTAAAAACATAAGTTACTACCTTTTTTTTCTTGCATCAATAATCCACCCAAACCTGTCTTTGAAGCATCACTATATACCACATAAGACTTACTAGAGTCCGGTAATATTAACACTAGTCAATTTTTTCTTAAGAGTTTGGAAACTACTCTCACACTTACTATTCCAAAAAGGCAATTATCTATTCCTGGTCAATCCAGTCAAAGGTAATGTTATCTTAGAAATTTCCTCAATAAATCTCCTATAATAAGAAGTTAATTCAAGAAAACATATCCACACTAACTGACTTTGGTATCTCCCATTTAAGCACAACTTCTACCATAGATAGATCTACATTATATCTTCACTAAAAGTTACAAGACCTAGAAAATTCACTTCATACAATAAAAATCCAAACTTAGATAACTTGGCGTAAAGCTGTCTTGGATATATCTTCACCCTTAACTCTAATATGATGATATCAAATCCTAAGGTAAATATCACTAAAAAAACAAAATTCATTAATTGATCCCTAAGGTTATCTATCCACATATCAACATACATGCATATCAAGTCATATTAGAATATAAAATGTAATTTATATGTTAAAAAGTATCTATTTATACAATTTTAAGTATGATTTATATATTCAAATATAATATATATATATATATATAATTTATTATAAATTATAAATCATATATAATTTAGTTACATATAGTTTATTATAAATTATAATTTATTTATAAATTTTATTATAATCATAAACATAATATTTATATATAATTTATTATAAAGTTTAGTTACATATAATAAATATTAAATTTGTACATTGTGCATGCTAAAATATTAATTATATATAGAATAAGAAATGAAAAATATTTTTTAAAATCAATTGCGCCTCAATTTACACCATAATTTTCTTAGAACATTATATTATTCATATAATAAATTTTTACAACATTTTTTAAAATATTATTTCTCTCGATCTCTCTATGTAACAAGTACTCATCTGTATTTTTCTCTCCCTCTTTCTGTATTAAAAGTATTATATAAAAATGTTTTCTCTCAAAATTTTCCTTGGTTCTACGTACCTCAATTGAAGAAATTGTTAGAGGCGTGTTGTGTTGGCTGATGCAACTTGCAAGGTATGGTTCAAGGTTTGAAGTTATCCCCAAAAAAATAAATAATAATGGATATTCCATACTTATATGAGGCTGGTTCTATCTTTGCTTGACAAAATACTTATATATATATATATATATATATATATATATATATAT